AAAAATATATTTACAGTAAAAAATATATTTACAGTAAAAAATATATTTACAGTAAAAATATATTTACAGTAAAAAATTTCAAATGCTATTACTACAGCATGTAAAGTGCCATTAAGAATTTTTTAGGGGTTTTTTCTTTGTTTTGTTTTTTTTTTTTTTTTCAAATAATAAGTTCTAGAAAAAAATGATGATATTTGTATAAATATTAAATAAATAAACAATGTTGCTCGGGTTTCTTCTGCTAATGTGAAAATCGTGTAAGTATTATGACAAAGCCACTCTGTTAGATTTTTCAATTATTTAATTAACACCTTGCTACAAATAGTAGATTTTATTATCATTTTTCATTTCAATCTCTGAAATCTAGATAACATTTTATTTAAACAATTGCAATATTTGTTTCTTTTTTTTATTATTATTATTATTATTTCTAGATTTCAGATAAAAATTGATTATACAACAAGAATGATGACAAATCAAATCAATTTGATGCTACTGTATACATATTTTATATATATAATATTATTAAATAATATTAATTAATCATAATAATATTAAATAATAATTAATTAATAATATTAGTAATTACTATTAAATAATATTTAAAATGTGTACACTCTATTTGTTTAGCAACTAAATTTTGAATAAATTTAATTTTAGTTTAACTCAATTTTTATTATTATTATTTAATTATTATTAATATTAATATTATTATTAATATTATATTTTTATTATTAACTATTTACTAAATTTTAATTTAGTAAAATATGAATTTTAAAAAATATGAATCAATTTATACAAAAATACATGTACATAAAAATAATACTGTACAAAATAATATAATACTATATATATACAGTATATATACAGTAATATAATACAAAAATAGCATCAAGTTAATTTAAAATATGCAATCATCATGACAATATAACAGGTTGAATCAAATATATTAGGTTAGGAAGTAAATAATTGCAAATTTTGTCGATAGGTGGCTTTTTAATATCACCAATTACTTACTTACCAACCTAATATATATATATATAAATATATTAGTCAAATACCATGGAAAACATTCATTTTTACAGCTAATACAAAAAAAAAAAACTTTTTACACACTGGACTGCCTAACCAAAACACGTTATACATATTATACATGCTGCTTTTCTAAGTTTGAACATAGTTACTATACTATACTACAATTTCTATTTAATGTAAATATTACTCAAATCACTATCTTTCTATCTATCTATCTATCTTTCTATCTATCTCTCTCTATCTCTCTCTATCTATCTATCTATCTATCTCTTTCTATTTCTTCTCTGTATATTTGCCTGTTAGTTAATACATTGACATTCATTCATATTTTTATAAACTTAGAATAGTTTTTTAGAAAACATTAGTCTAGTTGTAGCACAGACTACACTACACGCAAAGACTATTAATTAAAACAAAACAAAAAAAATTAACTATCGTACGATTTCAACATTATTTTCATCTTTTTTATATTATTTTGTTGATTTAATTGTTCTTCTTCTTCAAAAAAAAAAAAAATTAAAAAAAAATAAAGAAATTTTACCGCAGTACAGAGAACAAAACAAATCACGCGATTTACGAATATATAACAATTTTTTTATTTACGTATAGAGAGGAGATAAACTTTTGTCTTATTTTTTTATTTATTTCTTTTATTTTTTTTTTTTGATAAACAAAAAAACTGGACTGTGACGTTGGACGATTAAAAAAAAAAAAAAAAAAAATAATAATACAAATATACGTGGACGACTACTCTACGACTATCTCGAGTGACAGTCGGACGTGCTAAAAATATACAGAATAACACTCTAGACGTGTTGTGGAATGTGTGTGATGCACCCCCTGTGAATGTGTCCTGGTGGCTTGCAGACTCAGACCAGGAGGACCATTCTCACAACTCGGGACGTTTTCTCAGAAAACCGCTAGGTAAGTTGTTTACGTTTGGAGAGAGAACTCTTGCAGATTACCTCGCGTATATATCTATATATATATATAGGTATATTTATATAATAAATAAAACTGTAGATGTGTGTTATTGTCTCGAGCGTAACGACCTTCAGTTATATTCTCATATTTCTTTCTTCTTTTTATCGCATTTATTCTCATAACAGTATATCAATAACAGTTTCGAGAGGACAGACATAGCAACAGGCTCGTACATACACAATCTTGTTATTATTTTGTTTTGTTTTTGATTGGCTTTTTATCTAATATTATCTCTAGAGGAAACTTTAAAATATAATATCGGGTTGCTCGTAAAACACGTGCCATTTAAAAATAAAATATCAAATTAATTCAACAGTAATTTTTATTTCTACATATATATTATTATTATTATTATTATTATTATAAATATTATATTATTCCTATAGATAAAAATATTTATTAATTTTATATTTTTATTCTATATAAAAATATTTATTATTACTACTAAATTACTAATAAAAATATAATTAAAATTACTAATTAAAAATATAAGTTATTATTTAAATTAAATTTTTATATAGAATAAAAATATAATTATAATAAAATAGTATATGAAATATAATATATAAATAATAATAATAGTAATTTAATATATAATATATTATTATTAATTCTATTTATATTATATAATTATATTAATTATATTAAAATTAGGTTAACATATCGGTGGTTAGCGAGTGAGGTTATATGGGTTATCAATGACTAACGTAGTATCGTTCAAAATGAAATATATGTATGTTAGGAACTCTAGCACTTGAATACGCTATCTGGTGGCTAAATTCAAAATTAGAGTAGATAGTTCGAATTCCTACGCCACGTGGTGGGATCTCTAGCACTTGAATACGCTATCTGGTGGCTAAATTCAAAATAACAGTAGATAGATCGAACTGCTACGCCACGTGGTGGGATCTCTAGCACTCGAATACGCTATCTNATATCTTTTCTTTCAATTCAATACACTTTACTTTGATGTTCATCATTTGAAATTGTACTCAACATTAATGTTCACCATTTAAAATAGATACTCAACTATTAAAATCATATTATTTTAATTTATTTGTTGTTTCATTGAACTTGCTATCCTGTACTTAGATATACCCAAGTTATTTTTTGCATCAATCTATTGTTATAATTTATAGTGGTTTGATCTATATTTGAATTTGTGTGTGTGTGTGTGTAATCTATTTTTACAGTACACAATGTAGACATATGGAATGTGATCGAAGCTTTTCGAGAAAACGGCCTAAATACTCTAGAGCCGTCGAGTACTTTGGGAGTATCTAGGCTAGAAACTCTCCTGTCTTCCTTATTTCATGCGCTTAACAAGAGGGTGCCGGTGTCTCAACAAGCTAAAGTCGACGCTACCACCGCTCTCTTGATGAATTGGCTCTTGGCAGCGTATACCAGTGGGTATGTATACGAAAACTATTGCTTGCGGCTTCGTTTAATCTGAAACGATACTTTATAACACCCCAACTCCAACTCCAAACCCAACCCCAACCCCACCCCAATAAGCCCAACTCCCCAAATCTCTCATTCTTTCATACAACACTTTCTTTCTTTCTTTCTTTCTTTCTTCTTTTTCTTCTTTTTTCTGTTTTCTTTGCAGGGAAAATAATAAGATATCCGTGTTTTCGGTGAAGGTGGCATTGGCCACTTTGTGCGCTGGAAAACTCATGGACAAATTTCGATGTGAGTCATTTTTTTCATTTTTTTCATTTTGATACAAAAAAATTAATTAATACAAATTAAATATTTTTATAAAATAAATAAATAAAAGTTAAATATTTTAAATAATTAAATAGGTAAAAATTAAATATTTTTAATAAATAAATAAATAAATAAAAATTAAATATTTTTAATAAATAAATAAATAAAAGTGAAATATATGCAATTTATAAAATAAATATTCTAATCAGAAAATATCAATTCTAATTTAACTTTTCAATCTAACCTCTTTTTAATCTTAAAAGATTAATTATTTTTGTAATATAAAAAAATGAAACATAACCTATCTCAAAGAATTAATAATTATTTAATAATAACTTTAAATATCTTATCTTTGTTTAATTCAGATATATTTTCACAAATATCTGACGGTAATGGACACATGATACATTGGAGGTTTGCTGATTATTTGAAAGAAGTTTTAGCATTAACTGCAGCAGTATACGAGTCACCATCTTTTGGATATTCGGAGGGTTTAGCAAATACCATTTTTCCTCCTGTAAGTTTTATTTTTACAGATTTTTTCTTTCTTTTTTTAGACAGGTGTCTGTCACTAATTGATTTCATTTCATTTTAGAATTCAAAAGTAACGGTTAATGATTTTCTGGATACTCTGATGTCCGATCCCGGTCCTCACTGTTTGATCTGGCTCCCGTTATATCACAGAATGGCTGCCGTTGAAACTGGTTGGTAGAATTTGTTTATTTTTTTCATCTTCAATATTATTCTATTTTCAATGTAATACTAGATTCATTTTTATTTGACATTTTTAGTGGCTCATCCAATCATGTGCGATGCCTGTCACAAGGAAAACTTCACCGGTTTCCGATACAGATGTCAAAAGTGTCATTCTTATCAACTATGTCAGGATTGTTTCTGGCGTGGTAAAGTTTCTGGGACACACAACAACGATCACGAGACAAGAGAGTACAGTAGTTTTGTACGTAAATTCATCTTCATTTGAATATTTTACTTTGTACGATAAAAATCTTAATTTTATTAAACGATGATCATTTTGAATGGATAGAAATCACCGAGTAAACAAATTGGCCATTCGTTGCGCAAAAGCTTCAGATGCGTTCCGGAAAAAGGAAAGAACAATATACCAAGATTTCCTGAACAACCAGAAAAAACATTGGACTTGTCGCACATAGTGTGAGTTTCTGTTAAAAAAAAAAAAAAAAAGCAAAACAAGAAAAAAAAAGGGAACATTTAAAACGTAGAATTAAGTCGAATAACTTAGACGGTGGTGTTATATATATAATGTGTTGCAATTGGAATGAATTAACTGCGTTGCAGCCCACCGTCGCCTTTACCATCTCACAACGGTTTTCCAGATCCAGGTTTCATGGCACCGTTCGATTCCGGATCCATGGATAGCCGATCAACCTTGAGAAGGTAAGAACTGAGAAAAGGTGTTTCTTAGTTCATTCATTCACCTTTTTATATTTGCTTTTTTCTATTACGAGATTTTTGCATAATATGAAAAGAAAGAACGTCTTAGTCGTCGTCTTCGTCGTTTTCGTCGTCACGCTTTACTTCAAAGTTTTTTTTTACGTTCCTCTATTTTTTTCTTTTCTGGTATAACGTTCAGTATGGATAGTTCAAGACTGGACGACGAACATAAATTAATAGCACGATATGCACAAAGGTTGGCACAAGAAGCTAGGACCATGGTAAGTCTACTAACGCTTATTTACATTTTTCGAGTAGTATACGTTCCTCCATCTTTTTCTTTTTTTCTTTCATTCTACTCTTCTTTTATTCATTTGTTTCTTTCATTCTATACTTTCATCATTCTCTCTCCCTCAAAACATCAAAATATAACATTCAAGTGTATTTATAATAATTTATTGATTTTACACCAAAGTATTAAGTGGACCAGAAAGTAATGTCGCTTTCTAACCTTAAAATTTCTAACAAATTTATATTTTTAATCAATAATGTAAACAACCATGTTATTCACAACCTTTTTTTTTCATCTAGTATGCAAATTTTTAATACAGAACTGATCAAAATCAATCGGTTTTTGATTAAAATATAAAAATTGACATTACTTTCCGGTCCCCCTAATATTTTAAAGCACAAAAAAAAGAGAGAGAGAGAGAGAGAGATACTTTTCAGCGACGTAATTCAATTTAACAAATTCGATTTAAAACAATACCGCTGATTCATCATAACTAATTTTGATCTCGTAACAACTTCGACAGCCTCGTACAGCGTCCAGAATGTCACAAGCTGACCAATCGGTAAGTACTTCTTCTCTTATTAAACAAATTTAATAACAAAATTACAAATGAATTATACTTTAACATTTATTTATCAATTATCTTAATAATTATGGGATGTTTTTTTCTTTTCTTTTGATTCTTTTATACAGGGTAGAACACCGTCAGATGCAAATTTGGTATCGTTGGATGCATCGAGGGCACAACGTGAACTTATATCGCAGTTAGAAGCGAAGAATAAAGAAATAATGCGAGAAATTGCAAGGTTAAGGTATACCTGTGTCGTTTATCTTCCTTTATATCGAGCCTAAACCTCCAAGTCATCCCGTCGAACCATCCTAGAGTCACGCATGTTATAACGAAATTCAGTTTAGCTTGATGTCTCTTTTGTTGCATAGCTAAGCATATAATATTAGAACAAAATCAAATATATATATTTACTATCTTTACATTTAATCAATTGAATATTCATGAATATGAAGGTGAAAACGGTTCACGCCTTAGATTCATCTAACACATTCATATCAATTGTATTCTTCGTATTTCATAGCTTATTTCAAAGTAGATAACCTAAAAACGATCATTTTTTTACTAATATCTTTCAATATTTTGTTAAATTATAGGAGACAACAAGAGATAGAAGCTGCAGGATTGGAGAATCCTGCATTAATGTCTGAATTGAGAGCTTTGAGACAAAGGAAGGACGAATTGGAGACACATTTGGCAACTTTGCAAGATTCCAGGAGACAATTAATGGTTCAATTAGAAGGACTTATGAAAATGTTGAAGGTATGCATTCAACATTTCCAAGAATTTCTTCCTAAGACTCAAAAACTGGACGTTAGGTTAGATTTTGAACATTTTGTTGTAGAATCATCAAGCGTCTCCTAGATCAACGCCAAACAGTTCACCGAGGAGTACAAAATCACCTCCTTTACCACCTGGTACAGTGACAAGTAGCAGATCAGCCCCAGCAACACCTGGTGGAACATTGTCAACTACTCCCCAACAGCAACAGCAACAACCACAACAACAACAACAACAACAACAACAACAACAACAACAGCAGCAACAACAACAGCAACAGCAGCAACAACAACAGCAACAACAAAATTCACAAAATCAAATTTCACAAAGCTACCAGACTTCTGTACCAACGACATCTGTACCAAACATGGCGGGCAGTGCTATGCTTGGGACAATTCAGAATCCTATTCCAGATAGTCTTTCGTGTGTTGGAGGCGACGTAAGGTAGGGTGGCATGTACAAAAATCGTATGATATTATTATTAGGTTGGTAACTAAGTCATTGCAGAGTTTAAAAAGCCATCTATCGGCAAAATCTGCAATCATTTACTTCCTAACCTAATATAATTGCACTGAAAGTAAAAGAAAAATGTTTTCAATTTAAAAAAAGAAATAATACAACGACGAAATACGAGAAAGTATTATGAGAATATGTTGGGAAATGATTATTAAATTAAACAAATGTTATTTAAATGAAAGATATAACATTTGAAGTGTTATTTTGAAAGTTTACTGAATTTACAAATTATGTTTACAAAATTTCCTTAACTATTCTTACATCTTTCTTCGTATATATATATGTTTTATGTTTGTTTGTTTGTTTTCATATTATTTCAATTTGTTTTCTTTTTCTTTACTTCTTTTTTTTTTTCAAAGATGTTTGAAAGCAAAAAAAAGAAATAAAAATTAATTTCGCGTAATATTTATCACAAATGATCTTTTCATTTTCTATGTACATACTTTGATTATTATGTATTACATACCTTTTTAGGTATCTCATTTATTTACCCCCACCTTAGTGTGACTGTACATATACAGTAATATGTATTACTTTTAATTTTACACGAATTTTATTAATTATCTTTCTTTTTTTTTTTACCCCCTCTCCCACTCTCATCATTTTATGTAGTCGAATTTTTTTAGGTTAAAAACGATTGTAGTTTATAAAAAAAAGAAAAAAACATATGTTGCACAGTGAATGAATTTTTTTTCATGTAACAGCACGTAAATATTGTTTATAGCCAGGACTACGATTATTTAAATTAAAAAAAAAGTGAACAAACAAATGAAAAATATTAAGAAAGACATTGATTTGTTCACATTTGTTTTAAAATAAATTTATAATTATGGAATATGTTACATTTTGATATTTTGATATTCTGGCTATAAGCAGGATAAACAAATGTTTGAAAAATATAATAATAATAATAATTATTATTATTATTATATTTTTGTTGCATGTTTTAAAAATGTTATCAATGATATTTGTCATTTTTCAAATGAGCTAGTAGCAATGACAATTTTTGTACTAGCTTCATGCCTAAAAAGTAAATGTTTTTTCAAAAATATGATTGAGTAAATTTTATGCACACTGTTTATTATTATTTTAACAATTTATGATTAGAAAAAAAAAAGAAAAGAAAAGAAAAGAAAAGAAAATGCTTCGTTGTTTCCTCACGCTTGTTTTATTTTTGCAATGCTTTATGACAACAACACTTTTATACCAATTCCCGTTATTATAGTCGTTTAACTACAGTTAAAAAATAAAATCTACGAAAAGATATTGTAGGTTAGAATATTTGTGTAATTTTTTAACCGTATATTATTAGAAAAAAAAAAAAAAAAGAAAAATTATTAGTATCATTTTAATTTCCGTAATTGAGTTAGAGTGATATACAAATTTACGTGTAAATAACGCATTGTGGTTAAAAAAACAAAATGGTTGCAATAGGAAACAAAAAAAAAAAAAGACTTGTATCGTTAAAATATCAAGTGTGTGTATGCGTGCGTACCTGTAAATAGGTTTAAAAGTGATTAAAATAAAAATATAAATAAAAAATTAGTTAATTATACTTTTGTTTTTTGCAAAAGAAATAAATGGAGAACAATATAAAATTACAAAATATAAAAATAAATAAAAAATT